TGGCAATTGCCMTAGAGAGGTGAAGCTTCCTTTAAAAGGGGAAATTAAAAGTAAATGAAATTGCTCATCGCTAATTTAAATAAAAGTTAGAAGTTAGAAATTTGTTAAGAAGGGAGTGATCAAAAGGATGAAGACAGCACACCTGAGACTTCAGTCTGAGGGACGGGATCACGGCCTCTAGAGGACAGGAAAGCCCTTCTGGAATATCAATGTGCATTAGAAGATCCCAGTAGTTCCTGAGGCCCTGATTTGAGTCCATCTTATCATTTTAATGTAAAAACAATAGCATGGGAATAAAAAATGAGCAGTTGGTTCAAGTGATAACTCAGCCAAAGGGAGACAATTTCAGAACAGGATTCTGAGTCTGTCCAGATAAATCCTGCTGGGATTTATCTGATTGGAGGCGGAGGAGCCTAAAAACAGATAAAATTTCTTTGCAATGTTTGCTCTAAGGAAAGAGGCCCTTCCGCAGGAAGAAACCCATCTATTTTTGTAAGAGCATTTCAAGTGGTTAGTGGACTTACTTCCTGTGGTTCCTAGGAATTCTGCAACAGGCTCTCAGGAGGATGTTGGTGATAGGGAACAGGGACTTGATGAGTGAGAATCAATAATTATCTCTATATTTGCTTCACTTTTTTCTATAAAAATAATCTAGGGGGAAAAAGGCTTGCTTTAGAAGAGCAAAGGTCATGACAACAGAGATCAGAATGGGACATGAACATGCCTGAGTGTGTGGCAGCGTCCTTAGGTCACAAATTTGCAATCTGAAAAATTCATTGATTCACTTATTCTTTCCCTCCCTCGTTCACTTAACACATATTTGATTCAGTCCTCTGTGCTGGCCCTTGTGTGAAGACTGGGAAGGAGCTGAATAAACATGTCTTTTGTAGCTCTCCAGAGGCTGACCGTCTAGAGGAGAAGAGACCAAACAGCCACTCATGTGGGTGGATATGCAATTAATCAATTAATTAACGAACAGTGGTTAGCCTTGGGAAGGAAGGACACAGGAGGCTCCAAAAGAGAATGGGGGGAGGTCAGGAAGCCCTCCAATGTGGAGGCCTGTCAGCCACCATCTGATAGGTGTCAGCCAGAGGCCACCCTCTGGGAAGGAAGCTGTAGGAAAGGGAACACACTGTAGGAAGTCAGCTGGAGAAGACTGCAGTGAGCTCAAGGATCCAGGAGTGAATGGGGTGACTGACATGGAGCAGGCAGCCATGAAGGTCTTGGAGACTGTGATAAGAATTTGGATTTTACTTTATAGAAATGAAAAGCTGTGGGCTGGGGAGATGGCTCAGTTGGTAGAGTGCTTGCCTCGCATGCACAAGGCCCTGAGTTTGATCCCCAGCACACACACACACAAAAGGAAAGCCATGGAAGGTTTCAAGCCAGGCAGTGACCAATCTGATATAGATTTAAAGAGTTCTCTCAGGCTCAGTGTATAAAAATGTCAGGAGGGAAAAACAGCATAAAGAGGTGGCGGGGAGCATGCTCTTTTAGAGGTAAGGCTGGAGGTGCTGGTGGACTGGAGTGGGGCTACTGGAGGGCTGGTAATAAGCGTGGACATTTGCTGAGCCTTGACTAGAGTCAAAGGGCTTGATTAATAGACCTTGGAGAAGTCAACCAGCTAACAGGGGTGGATGAGGGTGATGGGAGGCAAGCACTTGCTTCAAGCAAAAACTTCACTCCGTCATCACGCTGAGTAATAGCTTCATGTGATATTTTCCGAAATTCCACTGTAATGCAAAAATATCCATGGTGAACAAAATAAGAATAATAATATAATTATAATAATTTGAATTGTAATAACAATTTCTAAAAGACAGGATGAGTAACAGTGCTGAGTGATGACAATACAATGTGAGCAAACCAAGCCTGATATGGGCCCTTAGATTACATTTTTGTGTGTATACAGTTATGTAGCTTGAGAAAGAACAATAACTATGAATTATCATGAATGATATGAAAGAAACACATTTAGGGAAGGGATAGAAAACACGGAAGTGAGGGGGGCTTCTTAGACAGAGTGGGCCCCACACAGACTCAGGGAGGCAGATACCCTGCCTGTAAATGCTATGCATTCATAAAGATTTTTTTTTTTTTTTTGCAAATCAAACCCATCAAACTTCTACATAGCCTATGAAGGACAGTTTTGAAAAGCAACACCCATCTATGTGTTTATTTTCTATAATAACAGATCTATAGGAAATTTATGCCATTAAGAGTTCAAGAGTACACTATCATGAAACACTGGAGAATGTTCTGCCTTCTGTCCTCCTCACCCCATGAGACTATCTCAAGTTTTAGATTTATCAAATACCAAGAAGAGCCCCTTGCACCTGACCAAGCCAGGAGGAGCCAAGGAATGCAGGAGCTCTGGCTGACCAGAGGAATTATGTGCAAAAGATGGCACAGCTCAGAGAAGGGAAGAGAAGCCCCTCTCAGGCCTCTCCTTGCTTCTTGTTGCAACCTGTTTTCAAAGGCCCATAACTTCAAGTTTCTCCACTTTTCAAACCGCCCCACCCAACCCAGTGGGTCTTCTTTGATCTCTAAAACATGATAGGGGCCAGTGGACATTGAAGGAGATAAATGGCTTTGAAAGGTCAGATCCCAAAAAGAAATAAACAAGGAGGGAGATCATGGAGAGCTGAAGGGCTGGAAGCAAACCATGCTTTGAGCTACCTGCCAAGACCTGAAGTAATCTCTCCTAAGAGGCCTCATCTAACGATGAGTACGCTGTGCCGGTTGTCGGTACCTACCTACCCTCGCCATTTTTTTGAGAAATGGTGTCTTAACTGTCATAATGCATGCCTTCCTGGAGACACGGGAGGCTAGGGCTAGACTTATCTCTTGGGCCAGCTTCTTGGACACCAGATTTCAACTCACTTCCAAATGCATTCATTCCTTATCAAACACCAGTCATTTCCCAGGCCCTGTGGGGATGTTTTGCTCCATCTCCTTTCCATAAAACCCACCTGACTCCTGCCAATGGCTAGGCTGCGTGCAGACCCCTGTGTGGAAAGCAATGACACAGCCCAGAGAMCTTGAATGCCTTTGGTGACACTGAAACAGGGAAAAGAGTGCATACGGGAAAATGGTCCCCTTTGTATTATTCATAGGGGATCAAGGAGAGTTGGCAAGAACAAGGAAACTCTAAAAATAGCCAAAGTCCTTAAAAAGAAAGAATGCAAAAAGGGAACAAGTTTTATACTGTCCTAAAACAGGCTCTGCAAAAGCTGAGCCCTGGAAGGCTGGCACCGGGGTCAGTGACTATTTTCTTCCTGCCCTTTGGCTGTGACACCCACTGAGTCCCTTTGCAAATCCGGGGCCCTGCTCTGCTGCCGGCTTCCTGCATGGTGCTGGATGCCTCTGCAGGATGTAGCTCTTGGGGGCCCAGCTGTGGCCTCCATGCCCCCTTTAGAGATCCAGAATAGACCATGACATGGGAAAGAGCTCTATGGGGTTTACATTCCTCCCTCGTATCCAAGCACCTTAAACACAAAGCTGCATGCCGGGATTGCCAACCATTCTTCCTGAGCCGCCTGGGTATCTATCATCTGTCTGACAAAAATGTGAGTTTGTCCTTTTCAATTTTTTTTTTTTTTTTTTTTACTTTTTCAGTGAGCAAGAGTCCTTTGGAAATGAGGCAGACCAACAGAGGGGTGACATCATAAACTGATGTCTTGGGACTGAGGGTTTTGTTCTTGACTAAGCTGCAGATTTGCTTTGATAAGCTGTTCTGCCTCCATCACAGTTGTCTTGGCTGGGGGGCCCGGATGGGGGGTGTTCATGTAGCCGAAGGAGGAGGAATAGCAAATACAAAGTGAGAATAAAGTACCTAATGTTCTGTCCACACAATAGTCACCCAGAGAGGCTTTTTTGCTTCTAATATGCTTGTGAAACCTCCAATGCCTTAAAAATTCAAATAGTCAACCTAATAAGACACAGGCTCTAATTAACAGTTATAATACCTGGCATTTTCGCTTTGTTCTCTTCTTTCCTCGTGGCACCCTGACATTCCAGTACTCTTGTCTTCCTTTTTTATGATGGTGCTGGGGATGGAACCCAGGGCCTCACATGCTAAGCACATACTCTACCACTGAGCCACATCCCCAGCCTGGGGCTCCACCCCGAACAGCTTCATTTTACAGATAAGGCAATTGAGGAACCTGAAGGTTGAAGATTTGCCAGTCATGCAAGGAGTTCATGACATAGCAAAAACCAAAATCCAAGTCTGTGACTCTCAGCTAATGAGGCTTCTCAAGTTCAGAGCCCTTGGAGCCTCTTGAAATTGGACCTTTCATCCACTACCCTGTGTTTTCAGGCCACCCTGGATCCTTTATCAGCAATGGCAAACGGCTGCTCTGATGAGGGCCCAGCTGGTATCCCATGATGCTGGGTCACCTTCAGGAGGTACCAGAGTGACAACCAGGAAAGCACCCAAGGTGGCCACTGTACCACTGCGGAAGGGGAGAGTCTGTCAGAGGAGGYACTTCAAAGACCCCACTTCAGTGAAGGCAGATACCTCTTTCGGAACATCTCAAAGGCTACATGAGTTACAGATGCCGGTGGGGTAAAAAGAACAGAGAGGGTGAAGGATCTCTCAGCTCAATGACATTTATTCTCTTGTGCACAATGATACAGGGATTAAAATCAGGGAGTCCGGAATCAGAAAACCTCCCTTTAGGTCTGAGCTGTGACAGTTGTTCAGCTGTATGATCCTAGAAAAGTGACTGAGATTTCAACTCTCTAAGCCTCAGCCTCTTCAGCTGTAAAATGGAGGTGAGAAGGAGAATCCTTGCCAGGCGCGGTGGGGCTCCCCTATGATCCCAGCTCCTCAGAGGCTGAGGAGGATAGCAAGTTGGAGGCCAGCCTGGGCTCAAAATAAAAATTTTAAAAAGCTCTGGGAATGTGGCTCAGAGGCAGAGCACTTACCTGGCAGGCATAAGGCTCTGGGTTCAATCCCTAGCAACACACACACACACACACACACACACACACACACACAATGCCTTGAGTTCTTTTTAGGGTAGCTCTCTTTCCTCTTACTTTAACTTTCAGACATTAAAATAGGCTAGAGTAAGTGATTGCATAGAAAGTGTTACTCTATTCATTTACCTCCCAGCCAACCCTGCCCAAAAGCAAAGCCTTCCTGCTAGGTTGAATGGTGCACACCTGTAATCCCAATGACTCAGGAGGCTGAGGCAGGAGGATCACAAGCTTGTCCACAATGATTAATATGTTGAATGCAGCTTAGTGAGGCCCTAAACAACTTAATGAGACCCTGTTTCAAAATAAAGAAAATCTGGGTATGTGGCTCAGTGGAAAATCATTCCTGAGTTCAAACCCCAGTACGGGGGAAAAAAAAAGTACATAATGTGCTTAGGACCGTATCTGGTACATAGTACATGTTCAAGAAGTGGTTGCTATTGCATTATTTGTGGATGTGCTTGATTATTTATGTGTATGTCTAAAGTGGGCTATTGGGTAATATGTGATAAGAGCAAGTCTTCAGCAGTTCCAAACAGATAACAAATACATACTTCAAAACACTGAATTTGGAGAGATTGGAGAGATTACATTGTCTAGGTGAGGAGGGAAGGGGGAGAAAAAACAAACCAGTGAACAGACTATCTTCCTATGAGCTAGAAAGAGGACTGACTTAGAGAAGGAATGTCCTTGCTGGGCTGCTTCTGGAGACTGGAACTCATACAACACATTAAAAAGGTTTTTGGAGACACATCAATAAGAGAAGGTTAAAGGGAGGGGCGTGAAGCTGCAAGAACCCCTGTAGAATCACTTTGCTTTTGGCTCAAATCCCTGGGCTTTAATGCTTCAGTTTGCAGGAAGGATTTCCATTTAAGAAGTGTGCAGGTCCTCAGGATGGCCCCGAGCCGGCGGGATGCTCTGGCCCAGTGTGTACCATTAAAGCTCAGACAGAACTGGGGCCAGCAGAGCATGCCGCTGCACCAGGAAGCAATCTGGTTTTCCTCTCAGAGTGGAAGCTGTTTTCTGCAAGCACTTAAAAGAATCCCTGACCTCCAGTTGCAGGGTGCTCCCTGACAAGGATGTGTTTTGGGGTGGATCCGCTAAACTGCAGAGAATTAAAGATTTTGAATCCAGGGAAGAAACTCCAGATGGAGGCAATCCTTGGGCATGTGTGCACATGTGGGTACACACCTTACATTTCTCTAGTCTTCATTAAGAAGTGTGGGAGCCAACACTGGGAGTGGGCTGTTCAGCGATGCACCTAGATTAGACTAACAGCCCCCATTTTCTGCCACTTACACTTGGTCCAAAAATCTGTGTCTGTCTCTTCTGAAGCATGGCTTGATGAGTCAGATAGGCTAGACTGTGTCCTTCTTAAAGACAGAAACCCATTTCTACTACAATCCCTTATCTGAAAAACCTTGGACTAGATGTGTTTCAGAACCTAGAATTCTGAGAATTTTAGAAGTTAGTATTACTCATATATTACAAAATAACTCCAGTGGCATCTGGGACAGTAACTTGGAATCAAACTCAATTGTAATTTTGTACCAGATATAGAAACATTAAGACCAAGTGAGATAACTAAAGATGACATAGTCTCAGGACAGTTTGTGTCTGAGTTATGAAAGAACTTCGAGTGTTCAGAGCCTTTGAGACTTCAGAACTGGGGAAGAGAGATTTTTAAACCTTTTCCTCTTTCTTTCTTTGCTTTTTCTTTTTTTTGTTTAAATTTCCATGACACCTGAAACCTTCTCCCCTAGATAGCACTGAGTAGAAGTTATTGATATCTAAAGTATGATATCTTGATCTCTCTTGAATATTTGATTCTGGAAGACTGGGGAACGGTTTGTGCTCAGTGACTTGGAGATTTTTAGGATTGGAATGATCCTAAAGAACCAGAGAGAAGGACCATTAAATCCCTAGGTTCTCCGTCATCCTGGACAGAAAGACATGCACTTGTAAAAAAATATACTGAGTACTGAGGAGAGAGCGTCATTGCACACAGTGATGATAGAACTCCTAGCTTATCACTTAGAAAAAAGGACATTTTTCAAATATTACTTAAGTATTAGTAAATGTTACAGATCAAGTTTGTTCAGTTCTAAATCAATAGCACAGTTGATGATCAAAACTAACAAGAGGATACATGAAAGGTGATATGTGAATGGTGACAGTCAAGCTAACGCCTATTGAGCCTTATAGATTTTCAAGTGCTGGGTTCAGCATTTTGTAAACATCACCATTTAATACTTAGAAGGACTCTGTGCAGTACCTACTACCATGAAGCTTCATTTTACAGATGAGGAAACTGAGAAGAATAAGTCATTTACTAATGAGTTCCCCGCCAGGATTTAAATCCAAGGTTAGTACTATGCTGGTAATTCAGCTATCAAAGGAGAGAAAAAGAAAGGGGGGGAAGGCCCTGATTTCTAGCACTTGCCAATTTCTGTAATATAAATATTCTCATCGGAGCTGATTTGAAGCTACTGATGGTTTAACAGCCAGCAGCAAGATTCCTGAATGTGTAATAATTGGTTTGCAAAAACTTGTAGGAGCCATCTCCTGCACACCACTGTTAAGTCCATTCCATAGTGAAGTTCACAGTTTACAGTTAATTTTGGAAAATGAATTATAGTTCATGGAACAGAATTGATTTGAGGATAGCATGCTGTCCAGGCCAGTCAACCAAGGCCACACTCCTAGCCTCAGACCCCTTACATATCACTTGAGGGTAGAATAGGGCAAATACAGACAGCAAAGAACACAGTGTCTCTCTTAGTTCAAACATTCCCCGCCTGGTGTGGTGGTGCAACCCTGTAATCCCAGCGGCTCGGTAGGCTGAGACAGGAGGATCAAGAGTTCAAAGGCAGCCTCAGCAACTTAGCAAGTCTCTAAGCAACTCAGTAAGACTCTTTCTCTAAATAAAATACAAAAACAGACTAGAGATGTGGCTCAGTGGTTAAGCACCCCTGAGTTCAATCTCTGGTACCAAAAAAAAAAAAAAAAAGAAAACAAATATTCCTTCACCAGAGGGTTTGAGAAGGGTCCCTGCCAGCCTGACAATGTTCCCTGGCAGAAATAACAAAARCTGGAATATTTTTTTCAGGCCCTACAATTTTTGTTTATTTGGTTTTTGTTTGTTTGGTTGGTTTGGTTTGGTTTTGGTTGAACAAGTCAGATTTGGGACCAAAGGATCTGATCCTTTAACTTGTGAAATTCTTGATTTCTCTAGTATTTCCTTTGAAGAAGTAAGGAAATATTTGTTACAAATAGGAATAGAATTTAGGCCTGGCAGAAACCAAGGCAGGGTACTCCACTGTAAACTGAACCCAATTAAATCAAATGCTGGCTCTTGGTTTAGCTTCTCTGTCGATGTCAGTAGGATACTATGCTGGAGCCTCCTGAGAARGGGCTGCCTTGATATTCAGTCAACAAGCTGCACCGGATACTGATACATCCAGGCATTTGCCAAAAGCTGGATACAGAAAGAAAAGGAAAAATTTCTTTCCCAGCATCTCAGACACTAATGAAGGAGACAGTCAAGAAGCAGAGTTAAATTACGTTCATCCACTCACTCAAAAAATATTTGTCTAGTGACCATCAGATGCCAGGCATTCTTCCAGGCACTGGGAACCATGGTGAGCCACGCAGAGTGGTTTCTACTATTATGGAACCGACAGTCCTGTCATGAAGGAGACATTAATTAATCACAGGAATGAGTCCATATTTAAAAACTGATGTAAACCCTCCGAAGAAATATTAAATGGTCCTGCGAGAACTGGAGGAACCTGACCCAGTTAAGGGAAGCCAGGAAAGGCTTTCTTGGGGAATTGGCAAGTGAACTAAGATCTGAAGAAAAATGAGCAGTAAACCCGGTGGGTGGAGCAGAGAGGAGGAGAGCAGAGSGCTCCGGACAGAGGGCAGAGTGGGGGCAAGTGTCCTAGGGTGAGAGGGAGCCAGTGCTTTCCAGGAAACAGAAGGCAGTTTGGAGAAGGAGTGTAATGTAAGGGGAAGAAGCCTGGGCTGGTCCTCCTGGAGGCCCACAGGCCAGCTCAAGGCTCTGGTCTTTACTACAGAGCAGCAGGAAGCCATGGAAAGGGGCTGAGGTGGGAAATACTGATGGCAATCACACCCAGTGCTGCCAGGAAGCAAAAGAAGTGCTGGGAGCCCAAGAGAATCAATCAGCTCATCTGAACTCTGTGTGTGTGTGTGTGTGTGTGTGTGTGTGTGTGTGTGTGTGTGTGTGGTGTGGAGGGAATGGGCAGAGGTCAGGTTGGGGGATGTGTCCAAAGAGGGCCTCTGGAGGAGGAACTATCTAGCTGAAGTTTTGGAGGGCGAGGATGACTTCGCCTGGAAGGGTGGGGGTAAGGAGAGAGATTACTGCTGGCAGCAGGAGGACGTGTGGGTCAAGGCCTGGGCAAGTGGGAGGGTGTGGGGGGACTGTGAGAAGAGGCCAGTAAGAGGATAGGTCACCAGGGTAGGCAGAGAGCAGAAGAGAAAGCCTCCTAGGTAGKAGTCTGGGCTTTATTCTGAAGGCAGTAGAGATCCACTGATCCAGTCAAAGATCTTCAACTGGGGAGCGATGACCAGATCCCTAGTTAGGAGGGTCACCAGCAGCAGGAAGGAGCAGTGCTGGAGAAGAGGGACCACTATAGCTTGYCGCAGCAGCCCAGAGACAGGAGGTGTGGCTCTGTTCTAAGGCAGCCCAGTGAGGAGGGAGAAGAGAGAGTGTTTTTAGGTGACATTAAAAAGGTAAAAGTGAGGGTGGGAGGGGACATGGGGGCAGGAAAGATGGTGGAATGAGATGGACATCATGACCCTAGGTGCATGTATRACTGCATATATGGTGTGACACTACATCATAACAACCAGAGGAATGAAAAGTTGGGCTGCAATTGTGTTCAAAGAATCAAAATGCATTCTGCTGTCCTATGTACCTAATTAAAATAAATAAATAAATATGTTTTTTAACRTAAAAGTGAAAGGACCTTGTCACCAAATGGATGGTTGGAAGTGTTTTCTATTCAGAGAATTGTTAGAACGAAACTCAYTCTTCTATTTGGGTTGCATCCTGCCTTAGGCAATTTTGGTAAATGTTCCACATGTCCTTGAGAAGAACTCTGTCCAATTCACTGTTGGGTA